TTGGGAGATGGCTAGTCATGAGACATATGAACATTTTAATGATGCAAACTCATTTGAAGAATGTGGTGATAATGTTTCGGATTCTAATGTTTTGAGTTTTGGTGATGTAAATTGTCGAAATTCTCCAAATTTTTTCTTGGATTCCAATTTTATGTCATGTACTCCTTATGATTTGGCTAATGTGCATAATGTTGACACCTCCTCCCAATGTGATTTTTGAAATTTCTCCCATCCTTAAGAACCCAAGTCTTCTTTAGAGCTTGCTCTAGAACGTTTTTTGGAGGGTTGTGAAGAGTTTAGGAATCTCATAGACATAAACAACACTTGTACATCCATGAATCATTATAGTGAAGCTTCTAGGGTTCAAATGAATGAAAATGAAAATTTTGAGAAGCCTCTTCTTGAAAAACCTTTGGTTGATGACCTTATTTTTCCAAATATCATCAATTTGCATAATGAGCCTAATGTACCATTAATTATGAATGATGACAAAGTTGATGATTGTTTGTTGAATTCCACTAATGATATAGGTCTACTAAAGTTAAAATGTAATGTTGATGGTATTCTTCAATTTGATTATATTGATGATTATTCAAGAGATGTTGAGGATAACTATCAATTTGGAAGGGTAGCCTAGATATTCATGATGAATTTTGGGAAAGTAAAGATAAAAGGGTTAAAGTGGAGGAAAATCCCTCTTTTAATGAGGACCATAGAGTTGCGAGTGAGGTATTTGTTGAGTCTTTACCAATTAAACATTTGTTTTTTGAGCCTCATGTCCCTTTCTCAAAAACTCTTGATATTATTGTCTCATTTCCAAACCTTTGCCCCCCTCTTCTTCCCAAGTTCACTTCACATGAGCCACTATGTACTTCATTCTATGAATTGCATGACCATTTTCTAACCAATGATACTCAATTTGGTGAATTTGATGTAGATATGGTTTTTGATTTACCAAATGAATCTCCAAATTGTTTTGTTGATAGTTATACTTTTATTTTTTCTTCTTCTTTTCAATCTAGGAGATTTTTTAGATCTTTTCATTTTTATTTTAGGAAATTTTGTAGATTAATGTATATCCTTTTCTTCTTATTATTAAATTTTCTTCTTATTTTTTTTTTTGGTTTAAATTTATGAAATGTATTCAAGTGCATATGATAAGCTCCTTAGGAGTTTGTCAAATTACTTACTAGCTAAGGTCTAGCCAAAGACCAAAAAGAAAGGCAAATTTTCTTCCCTTTTTTTTATTTATTTATTTTTGAATAATGATGTGCATGGATTTTAATTGTATGATGATTTGAACTAAAGAGCTTTATGAAATGATTCTCAATTAGGTACTCTCTATGATCTCTCCACTACAAATTACTTCTCATAGTCTCAAATTCACAAGAATTTTGGAGTTTTTGCTACATTGGAAAGACACAACATACTCTACCATGTTTTGAAAAATTTATGAAGAAATTTACATCAAATTGTGTAATATCTCTTTATCTCTTCATCCCTTCTCAAGCTAATGATGTTATAATTATTTTTGCCATTCATTGGTTGCTTGTTAAAGAGTTTGGCTTGGGGCTAGATTTTATTGTATGTTGTGGTTTTTCGTTGTAATTATGGATGTTGTATTAGATGTACTTGTTGAGATTGAATGTGTTCCATTCCCTCCCCCCCTGATTATCTCTTCAAAGCATTGAGGACAATACTTCGTCTAAGCTTGGGGGGGGGGGGGTAGTTTCACGCTTTCATGAAGGGGATTGATTGTTAGTTTGATGCTTAAATTTGTTCATAGTTGTACAGTTGGATATTCATGCTTTTTATCCTTTATTTTTTTTTTCCCTTTCTTTATTATAACTTATTAAAAATTGAAAAAAAATTTTGAAAAATGCCCTTGGATGAGACTCAAATGACGATGTTATATGTTTTGCTTGCTTGACTCTTGAGTGATGAGTAAAAGTTCTTTTAGAATGGTGTGTGCAAGAGATGGGGTCATTTAGAGGCTTATTAATCTTGATTGCATTAGAGTATATGAAATGAAAACCGATGAATGCTCAATTGCACGTCTAGCATAGGATATTCTCAAATTTGCCCAAAATAGGATATGTTTGAATCGAATTGCGGTCCCTTATGCCCTTGATGTTCCTCCCCTCCTCCCCAAAATGAAACTCTATTAGGGAATTGGTTCTATTTGTATCTTGTGTAATAAGTGGCATAATAAGCCACATGTATCGAATAAAAGAAAGAGCCGCTCACAGTTAAAAGAGGCGAGGGCAATGAATGTTAAAAAAAAAGAAAAAAAAAGAGAAATCAAAAGGAAAAAAGAATATAGAAAAAAAGGGAGATAAAAAACTCCTCCAAAATTCTCAAAATTTTCACTTTTTCTTATTTAGAGGTCAACTTGTGGACGCCTCCCACACATTGTCTATTTTAATGTTTGTTGTGTAAATTCCTGAGTTAGAGTGTAGTTAAAGGGGATTAGGAGTGCATTTTGGGAGGTGGACTTGCAGTTTGAGATTTTATAACCGAAAGAGGGCTTGTTGCAACTTTGGAATATCTAGATGTGCTCTATTAAACTAGTAAAAGGTCTAAAGAAGTATCCTAGTGCAACATTGCATAGTTTTCCTCTTTACCCCCAACTCATGTGTACATTTGTATGATTGGTAATTCTTGAAAGTTGCTCACTTGTCTTGCTTGTGTCTCATATCTCGATGAGTTGACTTGGGTGAAAAAAAGAAAAAAAAAACATTGAAATTGTATGCATGATTTTTTATGATGTGTTGTGGTTGTGTGAGTTGTGGGTTAAGCTCAATGGAAACCCTCACGAGATAAAAACTCGTCCTCTTAGGCGACTTAGGGGTTTAAATTGCTTTTCACTTGTGCTTAAAGTGTTTATGGTTGTTACCATGCAGATTTGTGTTTTTGTGTTTCCTCTTTATTACCACTCCTTGTATTGATCATTAGCAAGTTATCTTCCTTCTTGATTTAACATGTTTGTTTTGCTCGAGGACTAGCAAAAGCTTAGCTTGGGGCGATTTGATAACTTGTAAAATTTGATAAGCCGTCGTCGAGCCTACCATCGCACTATGTGGCTTGTCGCATTGAAAAACCTTCTGCTAGAGTATTTATACAAAATCTACGAACATAAGATAGAAAACAATATTCCTAAAACATAGACTACCATAATCATAAATCCTACATATATATTCTCTAAATAATATCTTAACATAAAATAAACCTAAATATATTATTCTCCGAATAAGATCAATACAGAAAATATTTTCCAATATCTCATATCTCTAACAAAGTACAATCTTTCTCACTAGACCAAGTTAAGCTTGATAGACGTACTCCGTAGTTGCTCTCAAGTGAAATAAAGTATCTACTGTAATACTTGTACGAAGTATATAGCTAGCTCAGCTCATTGTTATTCTAATAAATAATAAAATTAATGTCCATTTGCTAGCCAGTTTCAGTTACATGCATAGTGTTTGAAAGTAATCCATATTTTATCTTGAGAATCTGATATGGTAAGCTATACTTTAAGGAGGATGTAAAAGTTTTTTTTTTTTTTTTTTTTTTGGTGAAAAGATGTAAAAGTTTATTTGGTTGCCATTATTCAAACTCTTTAAGGGCTATTCTTTATTTATGGCCAACCTCTATCAAATTGACGTGACCTTTCGTTTTTCGTGCCTAAATATCACTTAATTAATTTTATTATATTAAAATCCAAATACCTCTACTTGTTACTCTTCAACATGGGGGACATTTAAAATCTATATACCTCTACTTGTTACTGATAAAATATAATGAATAATCCTCTGTAATTCTCATTAATCACAATAGCCAAATACAATATGTATATATTAGGTATACTTGGAGGGAAAGACCAAATAATCTAAAAATAGGTCACAATATTCTCTAGGATATATTTTCACAATATCCACAATTATCTTGTTTCCTAAAATATATCCCAATACCCCTCCTCAAGTTGGAGCATACGGGTCACAAATGTCAAACTTGCGAAGTAGAAACTCGAACTTAGATTTTCCCAAATCCTTTGTAAAAATATCAGCCAACTGAAACGTTATAGGAACATACGAAGGTATAATCGTCCCATCTGTAATCGCATCCCAAACAAAATGACAATCTGACTCGATATGTTTTGTTCGTTCATGAAACACTGGATTCTGCGCAATGTATAACGCAGACTGACTATCACAATAAAGGTGCATCCCATTCTCATGTCGAACACCTAAGTCACCAAGTAGTCGCTTCAACCACTTTAATTCACAAGTCGTTGCATTCATACAACAACATTCTGCTTCTAATGAAGAAAGAGCTACAATGTGCTGCTTCTTGGTTTTCCATGACACTGGAGACAAACCAAGAAGCACAAACCAACCACTTAAGGATCGTCTGGAGAGAGGACAACCTGCCCAATCTGAATCACACTAACCTTCCAACTGTAAAGCACTATCAGATCTCAATAAAATTCCCTGTCCCAGACTCTTCTTCAAATATCTAACAACTTGCAGAGCTGCTTCCCAATGATCAATCCTGGGATTTTGCATAAACTGTGATAAAATGTGTACATAATATGCTAAATCGGATCTCATAACAGACAAATAAATCAATCGACCTATGAGGCGACGATATTTCGCAATATCATGAAAATACTTTCCCTGAGATAGTGCTAATTTGTGATTTTATTCCATAGGGAACTCTGTAGGCTTAGCATCAAGTAAACCTGCTTCAGTAATAATATCACTAGTAGAAAAATACAAAAAGGCACCGAGCCATGGCCACCGGTTTTTAAAAACCGGTGGGAATAAAATGGGCGGGACTAGGCTTTTTATAATTGCCACCGGTCAAACCGAACCAGTGGCATATGTTTTTAAGGCCACCGGTTCAAAACCCGTGGCAATAATAAAAAACAAATTCGCCCCTCTATTTTCTTTCTCTTTCCTTGTTCTCAGCTCTTTCTCTTTCCTCTATCTCGCGTTCTCTCTCTCTCTCTTCTACTTCCTCTCTCCTCAACTAGATCTCCCTATTCTCTCTCTCTTTCCTCTCTCCACCGTGCCGTCGTCCATTCCTCATGCTTCCCTCTATTCATGTCCTAGCAACGGCGGTAGTGGCGCTAAGAGCTGATACAAACCCACCTCTTGTCGTTTCCCCCTCACGAAATGATTTTCCCTGAAGGTTCGTGCGTTTTTCTTCTTTTCTCTGTAAATAATTTCATTATTTCGTGTTTTTTGAGTTTTCATTTTTGTCAAATTTACAATTTCATGTTTTCGGAAACCAAGGGTTTTATGGATTTTGATTTAATTCAATATTACTCCATAGAAATTGTTCAATTCCTTTCTCAATTACATGCAGCTTCGCAATTACTGAATTTTGACAACATTTCATTGTCAGATTTCTTAACACCATATAGATCTGTGTTTTTGTGCTTTCAAATTACTGATGTGCAGTGGAGCCAGTGGCGGACCCAGGATTTTCCGACTGGTGAGTCACAATCGATAATCAAATATGTAAAAAAATTTTTTTACCAAACAACCAAATAATAGTACTAAAAAATACATCCAAATATTCAAACAGTACAAAATACAACCACCCCACTTCTCCTCCATTGTACTCTACAGTAGAGCTACATGTAGTGAATCCATCCAACGCAACTGCAACACCCAATTCAGAAAAATTCACCTTTAGGGCAAAACATAAACACAAACACAAGTTATCCAACACTACAAAACACAAGAAACCCACCAAAATTCAGCCACCATTTTAACAAATTCAACAAACCCATCACTCAAAACACAGAATTTCAACAAACCCACAAAAATTCACCACTAAAAAAGCAAGAAATTGAAGAAAATTAGTGATTATACACAACAAACCTGGAGATGAATTTTGGGTATTTTGAAGATGAGGGTTATGATCTTGGGGTTGATACTTGTGAATTCTGAACTCGTTGAAAAGAACAGTAACAGTAATTAAAAGCATAAAGATAAGAGAAATAAGAGGTAAGTGAGACCTTCTCCTGCTCCATTTCCAGCCTTGCACCATAGCTGCTGAAATGTAAGGAGAGAGAAAGTGAGAGGGAAGAAGTAGTAGAGATTCGAATGTTGGATTATGCGACTGTGCGAGAAGCCACGAAGAGGACGGAGTCCACGACCACCGACGTCCGACCACCAGGCGATTAGGCGAAGAGAACGGTGGCTGCTAATCCTGGGCACCGTGCCGTGCCGGGCCGCCGCGGGCCGTGCCTGGCGGGCCGCGGGCTGGTTCGTGCCGTGCCGGTCGTGCCGGCGGGCCCAGGATTTTGTGCCGTGCCGTGCTGGCCATTTTCACAGGCCAGCCCACGGCACGGCACGGCCCTCGTGCCTGGCGGGCTCGTGCCGGGCTGCGGGCTGGCCTGCGCGGGCTGGTGCAGTTTTCATTTTTTTTTTTTTTTTTTTAATGACAACATTATTAATTAATAAGTTTATAATGTATATAAGTTATAAAATTATAATTATAAGTTTTATAAGGTAACTTATAAGTTTATAACTTATAAGTTATTAAGTTATGAATTTTATAATTATAAGTTGAATATTTATGTTTTATAATTTTTATATTCAATATTTATATTTATATATTTACTTTATACTATTACTTTAAAATTTAATGTTTATGATTTATTAGTAATTGGTATAATTTTATTTTTTTTAATATGAATTTACAAATTGTAACAAAACGGGGAAAAAAGGCAAATTGGACTTTGGATGTGAATAATGCGTACTTTATATTATTATTACTTGAGTTGAGAAAATTGTACAATGATAACAATGATAAAAATCATACAATGATGGTATTAAACAAAAATTGGAAAATGATAAAATTGATATTTTTAAAATCGTACAATATACAATAATTGTCTATTCTTCTTCTCCTTCTTCTTGCTCGTCTTCGTCTTCGTCTTCGTCTTCGTCTTCGTCTTCGCCTTCGCCTTCAAGGTCATCGGCTAGTTGCATAGATTGGGAACTAGCCGAACCCGAACCGGAAGCGGAGGTTCCTTCTTCGTTGTCGTTGTGGTCGTAAGAACGGTCTTGTGAGCGATTTTCCGCATCCAACCAATCTTTGAAACACACGCACATTTCTAGTGTTTCGGGTTTTAGACTTGTTCTTCTATCGTCTAAAACCCTTCCGGATGCGCTGAAAGCTCGTTCGGAGGCGACGGAGGAAACTTGGATAGCAAGAATGTCTCGTGCCATTGCCGCCAAAGTTGGATGCTTCGAGCTTTGTTGTTTCCACCATGCAAGGAGGTCGAGGCTGTTTATCTCATCGTCGTCCATGCCTTTGGTGAAGTCGTAACTCAGGTACATCTGCAACTCCGAGACGTCGCTTTGCGTTCTCCTGATTGATGTATCACCTGAAAACCTTGAAATCAAGTTAGTAGCTTGTGAAAATAAATGTTTGGCCTTCTTACTTACGTTTTTGGATGGTTGGGAAGGCCCTGAGCGAGGAACGGTGCCATATTTGGCTTCATAGACTCTATATAAAGCAAAAAACTGATCCTTCACATTAGTCTTATAGTTTTCTACATCATCGGCAAGAAACATGCATTGAAAGTAAATGTCAACTAACATAAATGTGTTTTCATACTTTTGCCTAGGATCTAATATGGAAGCAAAAATATAAATCAAAGGAATCTCACTATAATATTTACGCCACTTTTTTTCCATTGCTGGAAGATACTGATCATAATCACTTTGATCGCGATGATCAGCGAAAAGTTGGGCGAGTAAGCATGCATTAGAAAGAAAGTTTTGAGCACAAGGATTGTAAACAGTAGAAAAACAGTACGTCATGTTATATAATAACTGTAAAAATTGCATATATCTTTCACAGTTATTCCAATCATCATCATACAAAGCATTTTGTGGAAATTTTTGGTTGTAAAATAATGTTAACGGGCCCTTGTACTCAACTGCCTTTGTTAACATGTCATAGGTGGAATTCCACCTAGTTGGGCAATCGGTTCTAATTTTTATTACCCTTATCTTTTGTTGTTTTAGAAAACTCTTCCATTCTTGGTATCTCATGTTAGAGCTATTAATAGACATAATAGCATCTCTGATTTTGCTGTAGTATGGGCCAATTGCCCGAACTCCATCCTGTACACATAAGTTAAATACACGGCAAACACATCTAGTATGAAGAGCTTCACTGTCTAATAGTACATCGGTTAAGTTTTGTTTGATAAGATTAGCTGTGTATGTCATAGAGGTTGCATTATCAAAAGTCATAGACATCATTTTATCTCGAAGGTTGTATTCGTCTATTGCTTGCATTAAATGGTGAGCAATGTTAATGCCGGTGTGTGGGTATTCCAGCATTTTGAAATGTATTATTCTTTTTTGTAACATCCATTGATCATCTACCCAATGGCAAGTCACACATAAATAGTGATATTTATAACCACTATCCCAAGAATCGGCTGTTAAAGATACTCTACAGTTAAGGTTACTCAATTCGGCTTGTAACCGGACTTTGTACTCTAGGAAATTTTTCATTGCGGCGGAACGAACGGTTTTCCTAGAGATTCTTTTATGTTGGGGTTGTAGTGCTTTGTTAATGTAGGTGTTGAATGCGTCACTTTCCGAGAAAAGAAAAGGTTGTTCGGCGTGTACTATCATTTTTCCTAGTTCATCCCTATCCCTCTCATAGTTGTATGTAAAGCCGTATGGATGGAATTGGGAAATTTTGGGCTGGGTTGGATCACTAGCTGGTTTTGCACAAGCTTTCATGTGTCTAGATAAGTGTCCCGTCCCGTTTTTGGTAACTGCCGTGAATACACTATTACATGTTTTACATTTTGCCCATTGTTCACCATCTTTACTTAGGACAAAATAACGCCATACCTCACTCCTTCGGTTTTTCAAAAGTAGCATCTCAGTTTCGGTTAACCGTTCATGATGTGTGTGATGGTTAGTAGGGGGACTAGTGGGAGTGGCAGTAGAAGGGGTAGAACCGGAGGGAATTCGGGTACTTTCTTGGCTACCTTGGCTAGAACAATAGTTTTGTTGATTACCGATATAATTAGGTGGAAATTGGTATGGTGGTAGTGGAAATTGGTTTAGTGGTGGTGCTGGAAATCCCGACGTATTATATGGCTCATAGCCCGGGGGGAAGTAAATGGGGTCATTGGTTTGACTCGTAATTTGGGGGCTCGTTGTATTTGGTGGTTCCCTAGAACTACTACTACGGATAAGTTGGCCTTTCCCCCTAGACCTAGATGATGGGTTGTTCGATGCCATAATTAACAATTAATTTTTTAATAAAAAGTGGTTAACTATAATAATAATAATTAATAACAACATTTTTAACAATAAAAATATCAATAATAATAATTAATAACAACAACTATAACAATAACAATAACAACAAAAATAAATAATAACAACAATTGTAACAATAATAATAATTAATAACAACAATTATAACAACAACAATAACAATTAACAACAATAATAATTAAACAAGATTATTCTAATAATAACAATAAAACAATAATAAATTTAAGATTAGTTTAGATCTTACAACCATGCTTCAACGCTCCACTAATTACGATTATGAACTTTTTAATTTTTTCCGATATTAGGAAAATAATTAGAGAATTTAAGAGAATAATTAGAGAATTTAAGAAAATAAGGATTATTAGAGATTTAGAGAATATAAGAGATAAGAAGAAGAGATTGTGATTTTGTGATTTGGGAATGAAATGGAGGTGAGTATTTATAGAATTTTTGGCAAAAAACTAGCCGTTTATAGCCGTTTTATAGCCGTTGGCCCGCGGGCCGTGCCTGCGGGCCAGCACGCCGGGCCAGCACGGCGGGCCATGCCCGTGCTCGTGCCGGGCCGTGCCTGGGAATTCTCCACCGTGTCCGTGGCACGGCCTGTGGCACGGAAGTCGAACTTCGTGCCGTGCCGTGCTTGACTTCGGGCCGTGCCGGGCTGCTCCGAACGGCGGGCCGTGCCGGGCGGCACGCGGGCCAACCCGGCCCGTGCCCAGGTCTAGTGGCTGCCTGGCTGGGACGAAGCGAAGAGGCGAACTGAAGAATGGAGATGAGGCGAAGTCGCGAAGAGAAGAAGGCTAGGGCTTGAAGTCTTGAACTGAATTCGTGTTTGGTTTTTTGGGGAAAACTGATTTTAATTAATTAATTTATTTATTTATTTTTTTTTTTAAATAACTTAAAAATTTTTTTTTGGGCCTGGTGAGTCACTTGACCCACCAGGTCTAAGCCCAAGTCCGCCACTGAGTGGAGCGAACCTGGGTACGGGATTTAACTCGGTTATTGAGGCCATGTGAAGGTAGGGTATGGTAATGAGTTTGATGACGATGAGGTAAAGGATGTTTCTTAATAATTTTTCTGCATTTTCGTGATAATCTGACCCTAATTACAGAAAAAATTGAACTTGATATGGGGCTTATCGATTTTGTCTTTGATCATGTATATTTATATAGGTTTGTTATCGTGAGATTTGATTTATATTTGTGATCAATGTTGAATTTTGGTTTGTTTATAAATCACTGAATTCTTAAGAAATAGATATGTAGGAACTCAATTTTGGTCGAACAATTTAATTTTGAAGTACTGTTTTTTGCTCGTGAGATCTGTCAATATTTTGTGTGTATAGTATTCGTTTGATTGTTATCTAATGGATTCATCCGAAACTCGAAATTATTAGGTGTTGAGCTTTTGTCTGACTCATACCCCTACAAGGAACTCTTCAATGGATGCCTTTGGGACATAGATGGAAAGGTATGAATCTGTACAAATCTTTTCATTTCTTGCAAGTTTGTGAATTATGGTTTTCTGGGCTTGCAACTAATTGATGTGGTATTATGTGTTTATCTACTTGCAGTGGACTGTTAAAGGTGGTGTTGATGTCAACATTAGTGCCAACCCTTATGCTGAAAAATGGGTAAACGTCTCAAGGAATAAATAGTAATGTCTAAGGGGGTTGTATGAATATATGTTGAATTCACTCAGATGTTACCAAGCTAAGGATTCTATTCTGAATTTTAAATCTGTTGTTAATGTTCCTCTGTTGTCTCTGAATGAGGCTTTGTTTTGTTTGAAATCCTAAATCTGATGCAAGGTCTAAGGGGGTTGTTTTGTTTGAAATAATGATGATGATTTTGCTACTTGGATTTGAAAAAGATCTCGAAAAGATGCAATGTTTTATTGTTTTGGTTGTAATGATGATTTTGCAGCTCGAATTAGATAATATATTAATAGTTGTTGTCGTTAGCTACATTTTTTCGGGAGCTATATATAGAGTGAGAGGGTGGGAGGTGGAGGTTTGGCTTCTACTTGAATTTTTTTCAAACTGATGAATATTGCACTTGTACATTAGCAGTATATGGAATGAAGTGCTCAAATGTGTTATGAGTCTCTTTCAACGTTCTGTCAATTTGGGCCCTGTGATGTCTCTTGAATCTTTATTGCTCATAATGTGCAGTGGACATGTTTAGTTCTGCTTTGAAAAATTGAGTCTGCATGTCTAGCACCAGGTCTCCTTGTTTATTGGCTATTTAAAGATGTGTAGTGGCTGTCCCTTCCAGCCTTCCTGCTTTTTACATCAGAAATCATGAAATTTCTTTTGCCTTTTGTTTAGTTGTTTGTGCATGGATGGAGTTGCTAGTTACTTTCAATATCTAATCTCTTTGAAAGTGCACACCTGTCTTCTGCCCTTTTAATGCATAAATCCTAATGATCTGATATACAGAATTTATCCTAATGTTGAAGTTCCTGAGATTTGGTCACATTTCCTTATCTTTGTATATATCTTATACATGGCTAAATTAGACCTTTCTTGACTACCTTTGAGATGATTTCAATCATATTTTAGAACAAAGTTAATGATAAGTCCATTGAAATAGATTTTTAAAATCAAAAGTTAACATATATGCCTAGATGTATGCTTAGAGTATACAAATAGATCTTCCAGTTTCTTTTTTTTTTTTTTTTTTTTTTTTGAATAATGATTTTCCAGTTTCTAATTTCATGTTTTTGATAATTTCTTAGGCTTTTTGTTTGTTGCTCTGATACTCCGTATCTTGCTTTGGGAAGTATCAGTTATTGACAAGTATACTTTTCACACAGGTCAGAAAAAGACTTGGATTTTATGCTTGCTTCATTTAGCGATCACCAGATTTAATATCACTTCTGAAGGTACCTTAGTGGCTGTATATGTGTCATATTAGTGGTTTTGTATGGATTTATTTCGTGAAATTAATCAGTTTGAACCTTTATAATTATTGATTGCTGCCTCTTTGATTGTTTAAGTTATTATTATGATACGCAAGGTTGCTGCTGCCTCGTAAGGCTGCTGCAGCTGCTGCCTCGCCAAGGCTGTTTCATTGGTATGACTTTGCTTGTATTTAACAGTGACTAGTATTTTTTTAAAGTTTTTTGGACCAAAATTGTAATATTATAGCCTTTTTTTAATGAAAATATGTAAGTATATATATATGTTAGTGTTTATATATCATTTTATGTGAAAAAAAGCAAAAAAAAAAAACTTTTCTTTTTATTTTTTTGGGCCATTTTTGCCACCGGTTTTGAACAGAACCGGTGCCAAAAACCCCTTTAAAAAAAGCAGGAATGGGTTTTTGCCACCGGTTAACCGGTGGCAATAATCATTTTTGCCACCGGTTTTGAACCGGTGGCCTTTCTTGGGGTTATTGCCACCCCCCAAATGACCACCGGATCAAAACCGGTGGCTTAGGGGGGTTTTGAACCGGTGGCTAAGTGGTTTTTTTCCTAGTGTATCCAGCGTATACTTCCTCTGAAAAATAAAAAATTCCCTGTTTATTCCGGGCTACCTCTAGCCCCAAAAAATATTTCAACACTCCAAGATCTTTCATCTTGAAACAATCTCCCAAATATGATTTAAAACTGAGCATAACATTTTTATCGTTGCTTGCAACAATTAAATCATCGACGTATACTAACACATTAAGCTGCATTTTACCCTTTGTCAAAGTAAACAAAGAATAATCATAATATGACTGTTTAAAACCATAAGTTTTCAAAGCTGTAGCAAGCTTTGCAAACCAGCAACGAGGAGCTTGTTTAAGCCCGTACAATGATTTCTGCATCCTGCAAACTTTGTCAGAATTATCTTTCTCAAAACCAGGGGGAATTTTCATATATACCTCTTCTTCCAAATCACCATGAAGAAATGCATTACGAACGTCCATTTGATGAACTTCCCAATTTTTCACTGCCGCTACTGCAAGAAAGGTTCGAACAATCACCATTTTTGCTACCGGGGCAAATTTCTCATTGTAGTCTATTCCTTCAGCCTGATGATTGCCAAAGATGACTAATCTCGCTTTTAATCTGATCAAATTCCCATGCTCATCATATTTTTCTTTGTAAACCCACTTGCTTTCAAGTGCCTTTTTACCCGGTGGTAGTTTTTCTAGCACCCAAGTACACTGCTCTAGAGCCTGGATCTCATCCGCCATTGCTTTCCTCCAACCCTCGTGTTTCATAACCTCCTTGAAACTTTTGGGTTCATTTCCTCCTGTAATGGCAGCAATATATGTTCTATGCTTCACCGAAAAACGATGAGAATCAATAAAATGTGTTATAGGGTAAACAGTACCTGAGGAAAGAAATGTCGCAGGTGAACTCTGAGATAATGTAGATGGACTTATATTTCGGATCGTGTGTGTCACATAGTCACGGTGCTTCACATTCGGAAATTTCTGTCTCATGCCTTTACCCAAGGCTTCGGTGTCTCTTGTTGCAATGTATGGTTGTTATGTCCCCTGTTGCGTGCTGCCATCAACCCCAGCATCTTCTTCCCCCTGTGGCGTGCTGCCATCAACCCCAGCAGCTCCTTGCTACATTCTTCCATTGATCCCAGCAGACCCAGCCCCTGTTGCTTCTCTTGCGGGCTGGTCAGGAAGTCTTGCAGACTCCTCCGCGGCCTCCCTGCGGTCTAGAGCTGCCTGCCGCGGGTGTGTTGCAGAACTGTCTGCCTCCCTCTCCACCCCCGCATTGTAGTCTTCGACCCTCTCATACCCCCCTTCCATTTCCACGCACCACTCATCATCACTGTCCCCAACATCTCCACCACTCACACTCACCATTATAGGCTTCTCACTAGGCTCAAAAAATGGAAATTCGGTCTCACAAAATTTCACATCCCTTGACACAAATATTTCTCGGGTTTCCAAGTCATACACCTTCCATCCTTATTTCCCAAACGGGTATCCTAGGAACACACATTTTCGACTACGACTAGCAAATTTATCACCCTTACTCTTTAAGTTATAAGCATAACACAAGCACCCAAACACCCGAATATACTCATATGAAGGGGGGTTTCCCAAATAACATGTCACAAGGGGTTTTATAATCAAGCAATCGAGAAGGAGTTCTATTAATTAAATGACATGCCGCTTGCACACACTCCCCCCAAAATTTCAAAGGCAAATTTGCTTGAAACCTTAAAGCTCTAGCCACATTCAAGATATGTTGATGTTTTCTCTCAACACGCCCATTTTGTTGAGGCGTTCCCACACATGAGGTCTCAAAATATATCCCATTTGCAAAAAAATATTTTTTCAAGGAATTAAATTTCGTCCCATTATCACTACGAACCACTTTAATTTCTTGAGAAAATTGACGTCGAACAATAGCAACAAAATTAAGAAACATATACTCAACTTCTGTTTTATTTCTTAATAAGTAAGTCCACACACCTCTAGAGTAATCATTAACTATAGTAAAAAAATAGTGAGCACCACAAGACGATGGAACCTTGTAAGGCCCCCATAAATCTATGTGAACAAGTTCAAATATTCGAGTAGCTTTATTTTGACTCAAAGGAAAATTACTCCTATGCTGTTTTGCACGAGGGCATATATCACAGGATTTTAGTTTACTACTACTACTACGACTCACAAAAGGAAGATGTTGTAGAACCTTTCCCGAAGGATGTCCCAACCGTTGATGCCACAACTCTGTGGATCGATCCCCATCTGTCTTCAAGGTCTTCACCATTGGAACGCCCCGCAAATAATAAAGTCCATCTACTCGTTCACCTGCTCCAATCACCTTCCTCGTTGTTAGATCCTGTATAACACAAAGTTTATTAGTAAATTGCATGATACAATTAGATTCATCACATAATTGAGTCGTCGAAATTAAATTGCAATTCAATTGAGGCACATAAAGAACATTATTAATAGTCAAGCCCCCTTGCAATATAACCGATCCAATTTTGGGAGCATTGGCATAATTCCCATCCGGTAATCCCACCGGATAATGGCTCACATTCGTTACATTTCTCAAAAGAGAGAGATCACAAGTCACATGGTTTGAGGCACCAGTGTCTATAATCCAACCCAAATCATGCTTATCGGGAAGCTTGGACTGAATAGAGTTTAAATGATCAAGTAGTTGCTCTATTTGTGCCTTCGTAACCCCGACAAGAGCTGCCCCATCTGAGACGGTAACAGCAGCCCCTTTCAAGAGCCGAGAAGCAGGCTGTCCGCCTGTGGTGTGAGCTTGAACGAGAGGAGTAGCCATCACACAATTTCTCATAATAATCCTCTAAAATCCACACAAATCGTCACACAGTTCCTCACTCTTAATAAAAATCACACAATTCCTCACAAGCAAAGGAATTTAATATATAAATAATTGAATTTGTGAACCTCACAGACTCACAATCACACACGTGAGAACAATCTCAAATTCCCAAAATCTCAATCACTCTTACAATTATCAATTAAAAAATCGACCCCACAAATACTCACAGTAGGATGCCGCAAATATTGTGCCGCTCGGAAGAAAAATAATTTATGTGATCTCTCACACCCCTCACGATTTCACGAAATTATGTAAATTACGTGCGATCAATTTGTCGAAAGAAATTTTTTTGGATCAAACCTAAGCTCTTGATACCATGACAAAATATAATGAATAATCAACCTCTGTAATTCTCATTAATCACAATAGCCACATACAATATGTATATATTAGGTATAGTTGGAGGGCAAGACCAAATAACCTAAAAATAGCTCACAATATTCTCTAAGATATATTTTCACAATATTCACAATTATCATGTTTTCTAAAATATATTCCAATAGTTACTCTTCATATGTGATCTATTTGGTCCCTTTTCACATGTACCTACAATTCGTTATCTTATTTTGTACAATTGGTGGAACCAGATCTTATATATCTAACCCGTTTTGAAATTTGATCTATCTCATATGCACATATCGTTATCAAAGAATTGTGATGACTATGGTATGATATGATCCAAATCACCACAAAATCAAACGGTTACCCTTGTAATTAATTAGAGTTTGCTCTAATCCATCTAAATGATTACGAGTATGATGATAGTGTCAAATGCGATTAAACTTAATTGATTAATTGAAGTTTGTACATCTGGAGTCAGTTTAGAGATTGTTAACTCTACTTGTAATCAATATTTTACACGTCTATTTTTTTTAAAACATTCAATCATCATGACTATGTGTTTCCTTGAATTTTTGTATTTAATAAAACTCAAATATCAAATGAAAAATCTGGTTAAAAATGGAGGTATAAAGTAATAGTTTATTACTTGAAAACAATATGTCAATTATGAAATCATTAAAACATGTTAAGATAGGTTTATGGAAATAGGATAATTATGTAAAGATATGATTTGATTGTGTAGTTGGCATAAGATAGCTTTCCTATGTTGAGAATACTTACGCTATATATACTCTTGGCTATCAATGAATACATTCAAGCTTTGCCTCATAAACATTTGTCATGGTATCGGAGTCGAGTTTTTAATTTTTTTACACATCCTAAACTATGGCCGGAGACAATCCACCGCCACCCCCACCACCACCATCGAAAATTGAACCAAATTCACCTTTTTTTATCTCGGGTCGCATTCATAACCCCTAATCGTCTTCGTGGAGATAACTATGACGATTGGGCTACGGATA